GAAATCAGTCAAATCATGGACGGAAAAGACTTCGAGAATCTTCTCATGGAAAGGCTGACTATTGGGCCGGTTTACGGGCTTCTGTATTTATTTGCAGGATTTGGTTTATGGTTTATAGAAACGGGTTGATAGAGCTCTCCGACCCAAAACGCCAATTATTCAACTGGTGCCCAGCACAAATTTCTTAGGGCTCGTTTACTTTGCGTGACATGATTAAAAAAAATAATCCCAGCAACTTTACACGTCACCTTTCAATGCAACTTTGGGAAACAAATCTCTCATTTACTTCCATGGACTATGTGATATGATAAAAAATCAAAAGACTCTTATACCCTTCTCTATACACGTATGCATCTCGCCCGACATTATCCCTTCTTCCTCAAAATAAAATGTGCTCTTCTTTCTGAAATTATGAAATTGAAATCTCGCCTCTTCCTAAAAAACTTCGCATCTTCAAAATTGAGTTCAACGACGAGTGCACGATTGCGGGCATTTTAAAGTGCGGGACGAGGACGACGTTCCGAAATTGTAGTTGTGTGTGCTCGGTTGTGTTCGGAGGGCATTTCAGGGGACGACGGACGCGAATTGTAGTGGTGACCTTCAATTAGGGTTTCTGAAAATGGATTGCGTCTACAAATTGTCCCAATAAATTAGGACTTCTTAAAATCAAATTCATATACAAAGCAAACAAACACAAAATCACAGAAGAGGCTTCCCTCATATTTACGAAATTAGTGCATCCAAAAAGAAAGAAATATTTAAAAAAAAAAAAAAATCGTTTCAAATGCTTCATATCCAAAAGGGTGGACAAATCTCATTCGACGAACAATACCATTTCAAAAGCCTAGTTCGGGATCAGAAATAAGATGACCTGTTGAGATCGAGAGAGATCGTAAGTCGGAGGAAGACGATGAACATGAGCAACTGAAGGAGAGTTTCACTTTTTTGTACTTAGGGCTTAATATGGTATAAGGTGGTAAATTCAACTACATTAAGGGGCAATTGTGTCTTTTCGCCGACAATTTTGAGGACAAAATGGTCCATCAGAACAATGATAAAAAAATCCGGGGGTGAAGCCGAGATTAACTGTATCGGCGTATTAGGGATAAACTGCGGGTCCCACACGCCACATGGGTGCCAGCAAGGTTAAAAATTGTCCCAATCAATTGAGGTAAACAAGAGATATTTTATTTATCCTATCCTAACCTGCAAAGTAAACGACCCCTTAATATTTATTATTTTCTCCCTTTTCCCGTTATCCACAAACAGACGCAATGCAATTTCGCAATTATTTATTTTTTTGATTAACTTATAATGTAATATTTAAAAACTATATATAGTTTGTGACTAAGGATGAAGTTGATATTCGGATGTTGAATATCTTGGGTAAGGAACATAAAAAATAGAGGGAAAAAATAACATATATAAGTAATTTCAAGTATAAAAAAATTTATTTATTAAAATAAATATTTTATTGTATCTTTCGTTCTGGTGAAGAAAATTATTTACATTAGCACTATATTAGTTATTCACCAATCTTTCCATCTTTGAAATAGTGCATTAATTGGAAGCTAGAAAAAATATTCGAATGAAATAACTAATAAGTGTTTTTCAACTCGGACCGGATCGGCGGGTCGATCCGAGACCCGGTCAACGCGGAGTCAGAACCGGTCTGAGCAGGCTAATTGGACCGGGCAACAAAGGACCCGGTCAAAACCCGCCTGTCACGACCCCCCTTCTACTACTGAATATTCTCATATTTTGAATATGTACGTGTCACATTTTTATCAAATTAACTTATTAAAATACAAATTTATGTGTCAAAACAACACGGATAATATCATTTATACATATCAAAAGGATCGAGAAACAGTTTACAAATTTTTACACATTTTAAAATTCTCAAAAATTTCCCAAACAACAAAGACGCAATCCATGTACACGCCCTCAAAACATTCTAGATTCAACAGCACGGTTAAGCCTTAACACTGATCATCAGATATCAACATGCTTACCTACAACGCATAAACTACATGAGTTATAGCTCAATAAGTAAAAGTCGTGCATGTCAAGAAAAATAACATCAACTGATATGCATTACAACACGAAATGCAAATGCTCGTATAGACTTTTGCTTTTACAATTTTATTCTCAAAAACTTTCTGTCTTGGGCCCTTGACCTAACTACTGTGCTCCGAAAAGAGCTCAATATAACATCAATAATCATAACATTCCAGCCCGAAGCGATGTCTCACGTGGCTATAGAATGGCTCAACCCGATCCGTCTCACACGGCCGAAGCAATGTCTCAAGGGGGACTGAGCAATACATAATAATAAGTCACGCCCGAATCGTCTCACATGCCCGAAGCAATGTCTCAAGTGGCTCGTGACCTCGATGCACTAGCAGCGTCCAAATAACAAAATACTCTTTTCTTTTCTTATTATGTCGTGCATGCGAGATAATATTTTATTATTACGTAATATGCATGCACATTCTGATGAAATATATGCTATTCCGAATAACAAGGACAAATATTAAATCTCAATTAACAACCTAAATACACATAAACATTAAGTTCACATAAAACCTTATCACTCTTCACATTTAATGTTAATATTTAATCTCAATTAACAACATATTAATTTTACTCTTCACATACACATTAACATTTGTTTCACATAGTGCAAAAAAAAA